TGTTTGGAGTGGCGGTGGTGCTCCAAACAGCGGCAGTACTCCAAACGCGGAAGCGGCAGCTTCAAATGGCGGCGGCGGCTCCAAACGGCAGAGGCAGCTCCAAACGGCAGAGGCAGCTCCAAATGGCGGCAGCAGCTCCAACGGCGGTGGCAGCTCCAACGGCACTCCAAATGGCAAGTCCCCCCACCCTTCCCCCTATTTTGCATGTTTTAAACTAGGCCTAAATTTGGGGGAGGGGCTTAATTTAATTTTATGCCTAGAAAACATGCTGGGTCTTCCTATTGGTGGAGGCCGTATTGTTGTTGAAACACGGTATGTTATTATATATACAAAGAAGTTAATGAATCCTGCTGAATCAGTCATCTGTGTGTGCTTTCTGGATTTGAATTTCTGCTGCAAAATCTAACAGAATATAAATGACGTACTCCAGTATGAAGATATAGTTTTAAAATTCAAGGGTTCTTAAAATAAATTTTTATTGTACTTGCTATTCCAGAGTTTAATTAAATATAGAGTTTGATCATGCCTAAACATTTATCTCTTAAAAAAAACAATGCTAAATTTGTGAAAATAGGAAAAGCATCAGTGCCTGATGAGTATACTTATACTTTTGAATAAGGCATCTATTGACAATTGTATTGTCCCAGGGCTACTAGAGCAGGGATCCCCAACAACCAACCATGGACTGGCATTGGTCCACGGCATGCCAGCAACTGGGCTGCACAAACAAGTGATGCCCCAGCCATGGGATGTAGGCAGCATACAAAACCACAGCCCCCCCCTCCCCAGTACACAGAAAAACCTTTCTCCATGGAACCAGGCCCTGGTCCTTGGGCCACTGTATTAGAGGTTTATAATGAGACCCTTTAAAGTCTATTTTTCCCTGCCTCCTTCAGTAAATTTTACGTAAATCTTCTAAAGGCTGGTGGAGACCCTGCTAATTATGCAGGTTATTACCTGATGCTAAAGTAATGAAAGTGCCTCTGGCATGAACAATACAAACACTACATCCCCACCATTCTTCCTGTGGCCAGTATAACATTTAAAAACAGCAAACTTTTGGCAGAATAAAGTTACTACTTTGTTAAAGGTGCAAAGAATGAAGGTAAGATTTAAAGTATTCAAAAGTCTCAATGTTTTACAAACAAAACATTTAATAAAACATAAAAGCATAATCTTTAAATCAGTTGACTCTAGTACAGGGTTGTGAAAGAAAAAGGTGCCATAGAATTCATTTACACCTCATGGCTTTTTCCTTCTCAGTTCATCTGGATGAGAAAAAAAGGATAAGAAACATTTCACCAACACTGCAAAGCAGCATGATACTCATACCTACTCTATGTTCGTATGTAGTCTGTTAAGTTAAAAGCAAGGTTTAAAACTAGCATGTTCTGTGGTAGGAACAGAGTATTTGCTAATGAAACTGACTGTCTGAATAACAATCTCTTAAAATTCCCCCAAGTCCCTGCTACAAAGGTGTGGTTTTTACAAAAGTGTGTTCGGTTCTACTGGTCCCTCCTTTCAGGGTCTTCCAATAACATCACCATAACAAGATGTCCCTGGCAATAACTCCATCTCACCTGTGGATACGCAATAACTGGCTCATGCTGTATTTTCTTCCTCAATGGGGCTCTGCAGCCATGGAGGATAGCTGCTCCCCTTGCTGGGTACTTCCTTTGGGTTGTGAAGGAAGGAAGTATCTGAAGAGTCATGTTCTAGGAGTGGCCAGGACAAAACATTTGTATTAACTGATGTATCCAC